ATTTATGTTCGTTTCTACTAAACCAATTATATCAATCTCTCTTACTATTACCTAGTCTTCTCATAGCTCAAATTTTTGTTAGTTTGTTTTAAACTCATTGATGTTATAACATGCTACCTTCAGAATTGTTCTGTTATTTTTTATTCATATTTCTCTTTTTTGTTTTTTTTCTATATTCATTTGACTATTTGTAATGTTGCTTTTTTTTGATAGCCTATTTTGACTAACTTTTTTTGATATTTTTGTACCATTTTCTTTTATTAAAATGCCTAAAATGCCTTTTAGGAGTAATTAGAAGCATCTGTCTTTAATTGTTTTTTCTCAATTCTGTCTAATCTGCCTAAGATTTTTGCTAAAATCTGTTTATAACTATTAGTAGCTGTCTTATTTTTATGTTTTTTTGCCTTTCTTTGTTTTGATTGCTGCCTCTAGGCTCTTCCAGGTTCTCTTTTGGATTTCTATTACTAGAGATATTTTTCTCCCCTTTGTTATTCTCCAAATTAATTTGTCTATTCTTAAGGGCAAGTTTTCTTCTATTTTGCGATTTTATTTTGAGGTTGCTATCATCTTGTAGTTATTTTTCTTATTATCTTTCTGATATTTGTTATATCTTATTCTATTGTTCATGTATTTGAGTTTTTTATCTGATTCTTGTACTTTAGAGGCTTTAGTTTTCTCTATTAGCCTTTTATGATAATTTTGCAAATTTGTAATATTCCTGTTATTTGTATCTTCTAAACATGATTGCTACTCTAATTTGGTATTATAATAATATATATCATGTTTTTGTGCTTGAATCAAGTTTTTTTCCATTCTGAAGTATATATAAGCTCTTTTACTTGAATTGCCATTATAGTTATTCAGGATATGTACTGCCTGTACTTTATACTTTTTAAGTTGACACAACAATAAACTGTTAAAAGCTATCATAGGCACATTGTGAATTGTGCATTTGTATTTATTTTTTGCTTCTAATTTCATATTGTTAAATTTTCCAGGAGTTGTTTTGTAGGTTTTACCTTAGTCAAGATGTATTGACCAGTTTTCTTTTAATGAATTTCCTCCTCTATTTATATTTGTTACTATTCTAATATATGCTACTTTGATTTTGAAGTTCTGCTACTATGCAAGAACTGTTGCTGTTCCAAAATAGCTAAAATACTTTTTAATTTTTCTTGTGTTTATTTCTTTAGATAAATCCCAAATTGTGAAAAAATACTCTGAATTGCTTGTATTTTTTTCTGACAAAAATCTGCTTCTTGAAGTCTATGTTGAATTAAAAATATCTTCATACTGTTTCGTCTTCTTGTGATTTTTTTTGATTGTTGCTTTGGGGCTATTTTAATATCTTTTTGCAATTTGTTTGCTAATATCATAATTTAATACTCCTAATTTATTTTGTATTAAAGCTTTTTTAATTAGCTCTAACTTAGTTACTTTATTCTCTGTTACAATTATGTTTTCAGATTGTTCTGCATAGTTTCTTTTTCGAGTTGTTTTTTGAAACTCAAATTCCATATTGTTGTTGCTTTTGTTATCTACAGTAGCTGTTTGTGAAGTAATAATTTTTATAGCTGCTTGATTAACTTTACTTTTATTGTTACTGTCTTGTTTTTGTTTAGTATCTGTAATTTGATTTACTGATAACTTTTCCTCAATTTCTATATTATTATTGTTTTTGTTACTAAGTGTAATTGTTTGTAAGAGTGTAGGTTTTATAGACCCTGACTTGACTTTAGCTTAGTTAATATTACTATGAGTTTGTTTTATTTCTACTATATCAACTTGTATATTGTCATTATACTCTAAATCCAGTAAGATTTCTTCTTCTTTTGACAGAGTTTGTTCTCTTATCTTTTTGTGCTATGCCTAGTCATAACGTTGTAGAACTATATAGATAATAGCTACAAGATAGGTATCAATAGTGCCAGATACTTTGCGATCTTTCTGTCTTCTTTTAGAACAATTAAGTTTTGTTCTTTGTATAATAATGCTCTTTCTTTTTCTGATTTAGTAAAGAAATTCTTGTAATCTAGCAGTTTTAACATCTTACACGACTGTTTGTTTACTTGATATATAATTTCTTGTTTTGTTTGTATTTGTTTGTTGTATTGTTTGTTTTTCTAATAATATTAGGCTTGTTTGTTTATTCACCTAATTTGGACATGTTTGTTTGTTTTGCTAATTTGTAATCTGCACAACAAGGTTAGTGACAAGTCCCCAAAGTTTCTAAAAAATTCTACAATTTTGTTCAAAATTTTAAAAATCTGCAAACAAGAAGCTTCTAAAGCCTTGGGATAAAATATCATTTTAAGAAACTCAAGTTGTTTTCTTCTGTTCTACTTTTTTGTTTAAAACTCTTCTAATTGTTATTTAAATAATATTCAGTCCTAGCTTTAATTTCTTTTAGCTCCGAATTTGGCTTCAGTGATCGACAAAAAGAGTTGTAAAAATTTGATATTGCTTTATTTTTATATATTATAATTCAAAATTTGGTTAATATATTTATAACTTATTAATTTAAAGATTTCTATGTTGTAGTAAGATTTAAACTTAGTATTATAATTAAGCTAACTTAGAATACAACAACTTTATTTTTATTTTTATTTTTTTTTTAATATTCAAGGTGACCACTTAGGCTCTTAGCATTTTATTAGTACTAGCAAGTATCACTAATCCAAAGACTATATATAACATGTTATAGTAGTATTACAAAAGTACAACTAGCTACATGTACAACTTTAGTTATCTAATTTAAGTAGTTTGCTCTAAGATTTTACACTAGCTACTATATCTATAGCCTAATTAGAAAGCTATTTATTTAAACTCTTTGGCTTTAACCTCTGTACCATGTTTTTTCTAATATATTCTTTCAGAATAATTTGTTATATAAAACTCTAAAACTTTAGCCACTAGGTAATCTAGTTTTCTAGAAAAGTATTTATTCTTGTAATAAATCTAACAGAGTGGTCCATGTCTTATATATATATTTATCTGCATATTTAGTAACTTTCTCTAATTAGTACTTGTTGTGCTACCAAAGAAAAGTTCAAATAGAGATGCTGGGATTGAAGTAAATCTCATAAGGGTGCAGTGGTTAAATAGAAGTAACTCCAACTATAAGTAGGAGCCTTGGCAACTGTGGTACCAGGTTAGCCAAAATGGGATATAGAAGGCTCTGGTGGGTTTATCTTAAGGATAGACCAAGTTAGTAAGTCCTAAGGCACAAACAAAATTCAGGTAACCAAGTTAGAAGACTCTACTAGGTAAAATTAGGTTATGGTTAGAGGGTTTAAACAGGTAACCTTCTGGTTGGGTTGCAGGTATAGCAGCTAGTATAGAACCTAAAACAGACTACTTAAATAAGCAACCAAAAGTTATATATATGGCTAGTCATATCCTCGTTCATTAAAAGAACCAGAGAGTTTAAATAGATAATCTCCTAGTTAAATTGCAAGTATGGTGGCTAGTATAGAACTCAAAATAGACAGACTACTTAAAATAGATAACCAAAAGTTGTACATGTAGCTAGTTGTACCATTATTGTAACTGAAACTTAACTTTTAATAAAAAGTTATGGCCAAAGAGATCACCTTTAATACTGAAAAAAATAATAATAATAAAGTTGTAACATAAATACTTGAAAAAAAAAAAATTATTTAAGAAAAAAAAAAAATTTTACTATTTATAAAAAATTGGCTAATAAATAATATTTTTTTAATTTTAAAATTAAAATAAAAAATTTTTAAAGAATATAGTGATTTAAAATAACAAGAAAACTGTCACTTATTATATAATTATATCCCCTCTTCAGAGTCATTTATTTAACAAATACAAGTTCTAAAATAATTAATTATTTGACAATTGCAAGCTCTAAAATAACCAATCATATAGAGTTTATATTATGATTACTTTAGAACTTGTAATTGTTAAATAACTAACTCTAAAGTGGCTATAATTATGTAATAAATAATAGTTTTCTAATAAAGTTGTTGTATTTGCAAGGGCAGGGAGTATGTAATAGGAACTAATTAAAAAGATTGTAGCCTGAGATATAGATTAGGCTATAGCAATATTCAAACAGATAGCTTGAGATATGAATCTGGTAGTATAGTTTAGCTATTTTATACTAAAGTGTGGCTTATCTGGTTACTAAAAAGTACCTATAGATAAGGGTGTGACGACCTAGTGAAGTGGTGGAGTTGTTGCACCTCCAGACAGCAGGTCAAGAGTTCGAATCTCACAGATGATATTTTTAAAAAATAGCCTTGTGATATGGTTAACAGCTATTCAACGATCGGTAGGATCTAGAAATCTGTAATCTTAGTCACACTATCTAGAATAGGAGAGCAGCAGGGAGAGTAGGCAGACTTTTTTTACACATATCTGAAATCCATCTAGGCGCTCCCCAACCCCAGGAACTATATTAAAAATTGATATAGTTTTTTGCTACCCTGCTTGGCTTTAAAATTGAGTTAGATCCTTTATATTATAGTGCAAATTTTTATATACTAAGAATGATTTCTAACCCTTTCTATTCATTAAGTTCACTAATTTATTTTCTTACCTACCCAAAGCCCTGTTAACCCCAGAGAAAGTAATTTTTTTTCTTGTCTATCTAAAGCCTTGTTAAGCTTAAAAATATAGGTTTGTTCAATACTCTACTTGACTTTAAAATTGGGTTAGAAGGCTTATATCATAGTGTATTTTTTTTATATCTAGAATATTTTCTAACTTCCTCTTACTCATTAAGATCGCTAATTTGAATCCTTATTTACCTGAAGCCTTCTTAACCTTAAGAAAAGTAATATATTTTCTTATCTATTTAAAGTTTTGTTAATCTTAAAAACGTAAAATTATCTCCTTACATATCCAAAGTATTGTTAATCTTAAAAACACTATTTCGTTAGCAAGAAACAGATAAAAAAAGAAAGCAGGCAGACTGGGTGTATAAAAAAATTATATCTGCAGAACACCTTGACATGCCATTGGAGTCACTATCAGAGTACCTTTAGCAAGCTATTGGAGATTACTATCTTTGGTAAGTCATTAGTGGTTACTATTAGAGCACCATTGGGGTCACTATCAGAGCACCTTGGTGGATTATTGTGAAAAGGCATTAGCTCTATCCTGAAGCCTATTAATATATTAGGTTACATAGCAACACTAGCATGTTTTTTGCAAAGGCCAGGTTCAGAGCTAGTCAGCTTGCTACAACCTTGGGAAAGATGCTTGAACTTGCTCTCCTGCTTCTTCGGCTCTGTTCGCTGACAGCTCTAAAAGAAATTTATCGATTTTCATTCAAATTAAAGCATCTTACTTCTAGGTGTAAAAAAAAAATCGGATAGCATGATGTAAAAAAAAATAGCTAGCAAGATATAAATAAAAAATTATCAGCCAAAATAATCTAGCTTTACTAATCTCCAAAGAGGTCAATACCCATATTCTCACCATTCGAATCAATCAGAGCTTTAGAAATATTACCAGAGGTAATGATTCTGGATTGAAGAATTGTAACCTCATTACCGGGCTTGAAAATCGGAGCTTCATCTCCAGTATCTTCTGATTCTTTGCTCATGATTGGAGCAATAGTGCTGGTCACCCATAGTGCTTCGATCTGTAGACTCTGCTCTCCTGCTTCTTCAGTTTTGTTCGCTGACGGCTCTAGAAGTAATTCATCAATTTTCATCCAGATTAAATCATCGGCATTAGCTTTATTCCGAAGCCTATTAAAATATTGGATCACATAATAGGTACCAGAATGCTTTCTACAAAGGCCGGGTTCAGAGCTAGTCAGCTTACTGCAAACCTTATATGGAATGCGAGGTTTAGCTTTCCAATGTTCAAAGCAACCTTCTGGCCGATGGCAGGTTCACCCACAAACCTATCCAGTTCTGAATAAATAGTTGCAAAAATATTTGCCTTACATAGTAATAAGAAATAAATATTTTATTTTAAACTAAAGTTTTCGCTATATTAATACAAACAACATTCAATACTTATACAAAATGGTTAACTATAAAGATATCAAATTAGCATTAGTTGAGGTAATCAAAGTGGCATGTAGTCAAGGCAAAAAAAAATATAACAAAATAGGATTAGCATATGTGGGTTATTTGAAAACATTGCAGCGTAAAAGAGACCCAGATGATCATTGCAGATATATATCAAAGCAACGAGCTCCAAATGAGGAAGCCTATATTAAAAGAATGGCAGATTTCAAAGACTGGTATAATGAAGAAGTGTATCAGAGTCTTGAAAAGTTATACAAATTATATCTCTTATTTGCAAACCAAGAAGAAGTTATACAAAAAAGATCTACAGAAGAAGTAAATGAAATACTTAAACTCCATGAATTAGAAATTTAATTCGTAAGTACCCATTGTGGTGGTAATTCTGTATCAGGACCTATGATTTGAAGCTTCTCTCTTACAAAAGATCTTTTCGGACCATTGCCTTCATCATCTATTAGCCAGTACAAGATTGGCTGATTTTTTTGCACCAGTGATTCTTTAATATGATAAACTTGAGGAGACCAATTCATATCAGTTGCATGCCTTCTTCCTATCTCTAGTTCGCCAGAATTAAGCAAATATCTTACTAAGGTATTAGAGGATAATTTAGGTTCATCAAATCCAATCAGCCCTTTTCATGGCTTAGAAGCTTTAGCAAAAACATGTTCTTTTTTTCGAGCTTTAGCAGAAGAAATACCCAGAAGTCAAGTTACAGAATTGTCAAGCTTTACAAGAAAAATTAGAAGATTTTTTACCCAAGCTCGACAGCATTCAGTAGAAGGTAATCTTATTTCAACACTATCTTAAATAAAGAATGCCCACTCTTGTAGTGTATGATTAAATCTCTCAACAATACCCATAGACTCTTTAAAATTTGCTATTTGAATTTGAATACCATGTTTATTCATTAATTCTATAACATTATCTTGAAATTCTACGTCTTTATCTACCATTAAAACTTTAACTTTAGACCAGATAATTGGGCATATTTGAGAATTAAAAAGTTTTACAAATCCTTTAGCCATGCTAGCAGAATCACGTTTAGTTAAAGGATATATCCATTTAGTATGGGTAGCAATATCTACACAATTAAGTGCAAATTTATAAGTTTTGTTTCCAATTCGATCATAAGGCATATAGCATAAATCAGCTTGAATAACTTCTATAGGTATGGTAATATTATTAAAAGATGCTTGTGGGATAAACTTTGGCCAAGGCTTATAAATCTGATGTAAAGCCTGTCGGTCTAACTATTTTTTTATTTCAACTAAAGTAAACTCATACCCGGCATTTTTACAAGCATTCTGCATTTTTTCAATAGTTCGATAATAGCCTTCAGGTTGGTAATAGAGCTTCTGCAAAGTAAGATCCCGATCAAGATCACATGCTCTCCGGGGATCAATATAAATAACCGGTTTCCCCATTTCGATTCTCTTTTATATATTTAGCGATTTCTGGATCATATAAATTATAGTAAATAAAAAATATGGAGGAATTACAACAAAGTAATCAAGAACTCTATGAGGTAGTATCCCAATTAGCAGAATCAAATAGGAATTTTGAACAATGACTATATATCTTAGAATAAATTATTGGTATACGAGAAGAAAGAATAAGATTTCTTGAAGAAGAGTTAAATAATATAATCAAAGTTTCTACAAAAGAGAAAGAAGAGTTAAAAAAAGAAATCTTAAAACTAAAAAGAATCATTCACCAACTCGAGGAAGAAAATAAAAAGAAAAAAAAGAAATTTCTAATAAGGTTAAAGTCAATATCAGAATTCAATGAGCATGAAACAAAGTTAAAACCCGAATACATGAGATATTTAAATCTGCGAGCAATACCCCAAAGCACAAGATTATACAACCAGATTAGTAGATGAGAATGAATAGCTTAAACAAGAAATAAATACAGTAAGAATTAATCAAATAAATGCTATATTACAGACCTGCGTTGTCAAAATTTCATATTAGCATTATTGAGATATAGAGATAGATTAGAACTTATAAATACCAGAGAGGCTTTACAAAATATACAAACATGGAATTATAATAAAGACGAATCCAATTCTGATGAAAATTCTCAAGATAATTATACTTTTGATCTAGATATGAGCACAATAGCTAAATTGGCTGATACTATAAACAGATTCCTAAATAATACAACAATATGTAAAACTGTTTTAACAAATTAAATTAAAAGATCAACTAAAGCAATTTGACATAAATATGCTAACTTGTAACAAGATCTAATAAACGAACGATAGAATCGTGATATGTATAGGCAAGAGCGTGATCAAGTAGTGCAGGAGCATGATCAGTTGTGAACTAATGCTTAGAATTAAGTAAACAGAATGTTAGACAATATAACAGAAAAGCAAACCTGTATTTGTGTATTACTACAGGAAAAATTTGCCTTACAAATCCTTTATCAACGAAATACTAACTACTTACAAAAATGCAAAGCCAATAGAGGTTTGTTAGAATACAATAGAGACAGGCTCTATGAGCGATGTGAGAAATAGAAAGCTAAAAAAAAAATCACACCAGAATATTTTAATTTTAAATCAACAAATTTTTGTACTACAGAATAACCTACAAAATATACAATGAATAAGAATGGCAGGAATATCACAACTATTTTTTGACTGGGGTGAAGATATACTAGATTTCTTTGCAAAACTTAGATTATACTTGCAAAACCAAGAAGTAGATCTAGCAGATAATATGGGAGGTCCACCAACAAGAAGAGAAGTAGCTATAGGATATTTAAGAGAATATATCAAAAGAAAAGCTTTAGAATACTGTTGAACCTCCCAAAACCAGTACGCATGGTGGATAGATTTTGTATTGGTATTGAGAGGTTATCAGATTTGAAAACATTATAAACTATTAGATTTGTATAACGGAAACGGACTTGGTAGACTAATTTTTTATCAGATTTGTCAGGTTATCGATTTTGAGAGGATCGATTTTGGGAGGTTCAACAGTAGTTTAATAAAAAGATTACTACAAAACAGAATTAGGAATTAGCAAACTTACTTGATAATTCAGGGCAGGCTAACTTAGTAGCTATAAACAGAAAACAGTAGTTCAAATAGAAAATCAAGCATTGAATAAAGCACTCAGTCAATTTGATAATGCAATAGTCAAATTAAGAGCTGTAGAGAGTTCTTGGGATGAAGATTGGCATATAGCAGATAGTCATCTTACTAATATTGCTGTTAATACACCAAATGCTAATAATGATACTACAGTAGTTGTAGCTAGCATTCATTTTGGTTAAGTTATATGGTAGTTAAAACATATTTTCTTACAGTAGAAGAAGAACTTCGTGATTTGATATATGAAACAATTAGAAAGAAAAACATGACTATAGATGAATTATTGTAAATAGGTAGACGAGCCAACTATAGGCCTGAAGAATTATGTAGAAAGTTCTTAGATGCTCTTCCACTCTTATGGCTTGAAAAAGCTAAGAATATCAGTGAATATTTGCTATTAGATGAATTAGTTAAAAAGTTATATAAGATAGAGTTACACTGAATAGCTAGGCATAAAAGAGATAGAATGCCTAATTCACTAATATCTCGAGAAATATATGAACCCTTACCTGTTTCAGCTTCTCAACAGCAAGAAATTTCCTTGGCAGATATACAAAAAACATTTCAAGATGCATTTGCATAGCAAAAAACTGAATACTAATCTTTATTAGAAAAACAAAAAGCTGATTTTCAAGCACAGATGGCCTAGCAAACAGTTGTTTAAAAAGTATAGGCATTAGCTTTACAAACTGTTGAACTGGTTAGACAGCCAAGAGGTCCTCCATTATCATTACAATCAGAAGAAGGTCTCAAGAATTATTATATATCTGAATATTTAAAAGAATTGAGTATAATTAATAAAAAAGTTTTAAACTTAGCTTATCCTGTAAAACTATTTCAAAGACCTCACCCACAACAAAGCTAGTAACAAAAGCAATCTGAGAGAATAGACAGAATAGAATCGAAAGTAGATAAAATCAGTCAAATGACATCTCAATTTGGGAGGATGATACTCGATAATCAATCCAAAAAACCTGTAACTAAATCAAATTTAACATATCAATACTTTCCTCCTCTAATACCTTTTCAATCCCAATATGTATCTTCCGATTCAGATTATATTAAGGATGGTAAAGGTGGATATAATAAAGAAGATAATATATAGAATGCTCCATCTCAGTTAGAAAAAAAAACAGGTATTACCAGTAGATAATAAGTCACATATTAATGCACAAAGCATACTTACTACAAAAGATATAATACTGAAAACTTATAATTAACTAATAAATTCATTATCACTAGCAATGCAAAGAATATATAAATCCAACCAGTCTCATAAAGTTCAGGAAGAAACCAATAAGTGGTTCTCATCAATACAATATATGAATAGCAATATAAATAATTTAATAATCTCTAATAGTTTTTTAGATCCAGCTAGCGAATTCGGCACTATTAATAATGCAACTGTCGAAGCACTTGAGTAAAAAAATAATAAACAATCCAATTTTGTTATAAAGAGTAATAATTCAAAACATATTACTAAATTGTTGAGATAGATTACAGATGTTCTGATCTCTATAAAAGATAAAGCAGAAAAAATAGTCACAATTTCAGGAAATTTTGCATGTATTAATAATGGTGAACCAGAACTAATGCTATGTTTAGATATGATATGGATTAGAAAAGTTCAAGGTATTCTTGATCTGAATAAAAATTAATTTCAAATAAAGTTATATGAAAAACTTACACTATCCCAATATATAGCAAGGCCCCAGTAGCTAAGAATCTATAAAAAAAGGAGCAGGACCAAGCATCTACTGATTCTTCTAGCCTAACTGGTGAAGATAGTTTAAAAAAAAGTATGTAAACTGCATAAATTATATTTTAGCGAGTCCTCTTAAGACCACACCTTCGGCTAAGAGCATGGCAATTCGTATAAAAGAGCTTGAAAAAGCATTGTTTTTCAGTATTCAATCGAATTTAAAAATTATAAGATACTATAATAATTTGCTTAACCGATATGAAAAGATCTCTCTAGAACCAAATAATGCTGATTAATCACACTTTTTTCTCACAAGCTTAAAAAAAGTAAATACTTTACTAAATACATATATTCAACATATAGTGATTACTTACTTTCTGACTTCAAGCAAGAATTGCAAGAAGGCAAGATAAGAGCATGACCAAATGCTCTAATTTTTTCTATTTTAGGAGCAGTTCTCTTATAGAAATCCAAGACATTTTCAGAAGATTCAGTAGATAAAATAGAATCAGATATGTGAACAGCCTTGGACCTCAATTTTCTCTCTCTAGTCTTTTTTGTCTTACTATCTGAAATAATATCCTCTTCTGAAGCCAAAACAGTAGATTTGCTAATTTTAGTATCATGTATTTTGTTTTCTAGTACTGTAAAGGCAAAATCAAATTTATTAGCATCATGATTGGAATCTTCACTTAAGCTAAGTATATTAATATTTGATCGCAATACCTCTTCTCTAGAATCTATTAGTAGATGATTCCCTCTCCATATTTGATATGCATGTCTTGTTGATATTTTGTATTTGCTTGCTATAGCTTCTAATGTATGTTTTATTGAATTTCTAGTATTAATAATATCTTATATATTATTATCAGATAAAGAAGTTGTATTAGATCACAGATATCAAACTTTTTTTTCTGAATTCTGTAATATAATATATTTAAAATAAAAAAAATATTTAGATAATAATTCGAAAAAAATTTAATACAGTTTTGATATATATCCAATCTCTATTCGGTGTTTCTGACCATTCGATTAACATTCAATCCTATTTTAGTATTTCTAAACTATTTGGTTAATACCTAATTCTATTTTAATGAAAATTCGATTTAGATATATTAGTTAATATCTAATTCTTATTTGATTTGTTATTCTTTTTGATTAGTATTTGATTAATATCTTCTGTCAAAATTTGATTGGTATGACTACAAGCAATGCAATAAAAACTTACAATATCTTGTAATTTAATAAAAAGATAGATATTGTGAGATTTAATCTTAGAATATAGGAGTATTGTATCAGATGATTTCTCATCTTTATTGGGCACTGCATTATCTATTGGCAAGTCAGTACTTAAATCAATAAGAGTTTCAGTTATAAAATTTTTTTTTCCTACTTTGAATTTTTGGTTATTTGAGTCTGATTTGAAGAAAACATATTTTGTATAGGGTTAATAAGATGTTTTTGTCCTTTCTATATTTGATAAATATACTTTGATGATGTTTTATACTTACTCATCAACTTATTTAAAATTTTATATCTCAGTTTTATATTACAACACTGCATATATAAGAATAATCTTTAGGAGAAAACAGAGGTGCATCAGATCTTAAATATCTAGTCATAGTTCTACTATATCGATAGTTTGCAAATTATAGGTATTATTAATATTAGTTATCCACTATTTAATTTATTTTTAGCTATTAATAAGAATATTAATGAAGAATTTCGCTCATAAATTTTTTAAATATATTAATGACTAAGTTGAAAATAAAATATGTCCAATATACACACTTTAAGAGATATTGAGAATAAAAAGGTTTTGAAGGGATTAGGTTATCAGTTGGGTAGCATCTGTAAATCAGAACTTGAAAAAGCATTGCGTAGTAGTATTAAAACTGCTTCTGATTTTGCTAATGAATATAAAGACCTGCAGGATATGTATTTAAAGCAAAAAGAGAATCTCATGCTAGTTCAAGCTGATGCTAGTAAAAAGATTAGCCAGCTGAATGCGTCCAATACTAGGCTTAGATCTTCTAAACAGAAATCCCATACTGAGCGTGAAGCAGAGTGAGCCAATTATTCTGCTGAAATCTAATTGCTCAAATCTAAGATTAAAACACTAAAGAAGAAAGCAACTTTGGCCTGGAAAGTTTTATCCTCTGACAAGGTCACAATTCTTTCTCTTGAATCTAAAATAGGTAAATTGGAAGCTGAGCTGGAAAATCTAGAACTAAAACACATACTCTAATCTGAAATTGATTCTCTTAGCCTTGAATTAGAGCGAGTAAAGGATGAATTATCTTTAAAAAAACATGAAATAGAATGTATAAAAAAGAGGATAGAGGCAATAGATATAATATATAAACAGGTATTGAATGATTTATCTTTAGCAAAATTTGAACTATTCAAGAAAGATAGTCTTATCTAAAAGTTAGAAGTAGAGCAGCACACATTCCCACCTATGGACGGTTTATCACAACTTGGGGGGTTACAGAGTAAAGCCACTCTTTCCACTCTTAATTCTTTGGCCCAAACAATTTCTATAGATAATACAGAAGCAAACCTAAAGAGATTACATAATGAAGTGGCTAGAGGGTCATGCCCAAGAGCCTATAGTCAAAGTGATTTCTCAGATATTAGTAAACAGGAGAAAGGGCTGAAAGGTGCTTCACATAACAGTAACACTAGTTCTGAACTCACCTCAGTATCGTCTATTATTTCTCTAGAAGCTGGCAAAGCTTTAGCTAATAATTCTTTCTTTTTTCATCTTGTAATCTTTCTTGTAATAATATTACTAATTATATACCTTCTATAGTCTATCTTCTCTAAACTATATTCTTTTATTTCTGCTAAAAAGCAAACAAAAAATTTTCTAAAATATAAATTACCTTTTGATAGAAATCAGAGTTATGGATTCTCGATCTGTGATGCAGAAGAACTAAAAAACAAAACTATCTCCTATAAAACTTTATCTTATAAATATGGATAAGACTACAAAGCACGAATCAACCCAAAATATTGGACATCCAGCACTAACATAGCCTTTCAGTAAGGTATTCACTAGTAAGAGTGGCACAGGTAAGTTAAATTTGGCCACAAACTTTGTTTCTGGAGATAAAGGTAAATATATACATATACAAGGGTAAAGAAGAAGGATCCAGATATATACGGTATGATGATTTGATAGTTTATGAATACCACCCGGATAAACCTAAATGAGTATATGTTAAATATTTGTATAAAGTAATCACAAATAATCCAAGAGTGTCATATTATGAAAATATTAGATTTAAATATATCTTATCTGAAAAAATCCCCAATGTAAAATCATTTTCACCTGAGAGAAGTACTGTAATTATTTTTAAAGATTTGTGTATCACTTCAAAGACAATACAAAATTGAATTATTTTATTCTTCATACATGGGCAACATCAAAATATAAGTCCAATATATATAATGCAAAAATATCATCAAGTCCTAATAATTATTCATGAGAATTTATTCTATTTAGTGATATTTAATGAGGTGGTAGTTATCAAGATGTATCCAAAATAATTGGACGATATACTGATAATGTTAAGAATGCATCAATAGTTATTAATAGTTACCTTAGAAGAGGTGAATTTATTGTATTTGATCTTACCAGGCCGGAAGATAATCCTCTTGCAATCTGGCTAAGGTTCGACACTCCATTAAACCTGCAGAAAGAGATAGAGGCAAGACAAAAGTGTAAGAAAAAAGTGATCTAGTTAATCTTCACTTTAGTGAAGTGACTCTATCATTTTTCTAATGCTATTCTTGAGATCACAATAATGCCTTCTCGCAATACCACTGACTTTTCGCAATACTTGCTCAAAGTTAGAAAATAAAGTTATCTCTTTTTGAGAAAAAACACCTGATTACTTTTGCTGTGACTTCAAGCAATGGAATCGCAAGAAGGCATGCTTGAAGCCAGATACATTAAAGAGCTAAAAGTTAGTATCTTTTTTTTCTGACTTTGAGTAATACAATCATAAGAAGGCAGGATCACAATTGGGTAAAATAATTTATATATTAATATTTACTTGCAATATATGCAAGAAAGAAATAAAAATCTATGAAGTGTATATTTACATTTTTTTTGTTTTTGGATACAAATTTGAATCACGATATTCCTTAATATATGTTGATAAAGAATTGCTATAAATCGCTAAAAATACTATAAACCATTAAAACAACTGAATTTCTATAAATCAATAGTTTGCTATAAAACATTATTTATTATGTTTCAAAGTGGTTTTGAGGATACTTATGAGAAATATTCAGAGTATCTTGGTTTGCATCTCATTAGAATAGTAAAACTCCAACTGATTGGAAGGACAGAATCTGGGGTCGTCTAATATATTTTAGAGAAAGAAATTTTTATATATATGGTGAGAAAGATTTCTTTTGCACTTGCAAAACTTTGCCATATCTTGTTGATGCAAAAAAATACTCTCCAAACTGCGGGATAGCTATCGGTTATTCTTGCAACCAACTTGTATATCTTGGAATAGAAACTTTGTCAATAGGTAAAAAATATGTATATGATAGATTGGAGGGTAAGTTTGTATTTTGGAAATACCGATATATCAGTTTTAATGAAGAGCATTGGGGTATGTTTCAACATTGGGCTACAGCTTGTACTAAAAATAAGTTTTGTAAACTAAATTTTGAAGAATATATAGAAATAAAATAGTGAATTCTATTCGACAAGTGGATAGGATTCCATCAATATGATTTGTAGATGAAGAATCAATTTGGTAAATTCTGATGCAGACAACTATATATTACTATAATTAACAATGATTATATTAAAAATAAATTCAGTATCTTTGCAGAAAGCAAACTATACAGTTATGTTTTATGGATAGAGAATATTAGTAGAAGGATTAGGCATATCAGACAGAAATGTGTCTTTCTAATTGCTTTAAGTGAGAAGAGATTTCATTTGATCTGTAAACATTGTTTAGGAGATGCAACCACTATATATAAACAAGTGGATTGATGGATAAACCATGTTTATTAACACCTCCTCCATTATCGCCAAAACCTATTGCCTGGTCCCAAAGAGACTTCTTAATATGACATAATACAAGTGTATCTGAAATGCCCTTTTCGAGCTATAGCTTTATGAGAAATCAAGCTTTAATTGAAGTCGAAGAATATTTCAATTCTGTATGAAAAATACAAGGAAGAAAATAGATTTAATATTTTTTAACTGAATATTAATATTATTTATCTGTTATATTTTTACACAATTCAATTGAGAAAGTGATCGTCTAGTAAAATATACCACTTGCGGGTTTATACAATATTGCAATCTGTCTATTCTGGATTAGATCCTCTAATTTATAACAATTTTTAAATATACTATTCTAAGAGTTCAGAAATATCAATGAAGCAATCCTGGAGATTCTTAATTTCTAAATATTATAATTATAACTTTAAGAATTTCTATGCAACAGTTATCCAACAGGCTTATAGGAGTTACAAGAAAAGGCCTAAGTCATTGGCAAAATGAGTCTGAGAAGTGGTAAGGAATGATGATACTTCTGATAGAAAGAGATTTTTAGGTATACTTTCAATTCCTCGAATGAAAATTAATCCTTTGATGCAAGAAGAATATGCTTTGCATTTTAATGAATTTGTTGATATGCTTAAAAAAGCAAATACTTTTCAATACTATAACGAAACATATAATATAGCCAAGCTTGCTATATATAAAGAATATATTTATTTTAGTCTTAATGAATAGATAGAAAAAAAGAAATATCAGTTAAGCCATCGACTAGATAAAGAAGCACACAACCTTGTTAAGGAAATATTAGAATAGCAGGGTTACAGACAAGGTTATATTTTATGATGGAAGCTCGATATTGTTTACTTTTTGTGGAGATATATAATAAAATCATTACAAGATCTTGAAAAATAACTTATTAAAAAATAGCTAAACAGACAAGCTTTGCATCAAATTCACAAGCCTCAACTAAAGTTTATTCAGTATGCTTCTTTTAATGATATACAAGATCTAAATGATATATATCAATTCGATACTACTCTTATACCTCATGATAAAGTAGGTAATTGAATTTATAAGTATAGGTTTGTAATAAAAGTTATAGCTACTAGATTTTGTTGTAGTTTTGCTTTAACCAATAAATCTTCTGCACTAGTGGCTAAAGCATTTCAAAAAATTTATAATAACCCAAATTGCTCTTTTATTTAGCCAAATGTTTTAATTGTTAATAGAGGTACAAAATTTTTAGGTGAGTGTAGAGATTTATTGCTTAGCTATGGTGTAAGAATTCAGTATGCTAACTCTAAACGTAGTGTAGCTATTGCTAAATATGACCATCAAGAATTTGAAAAGCATGCTTATTTTTGGCAAGATGCTGAAGATTTTCATTTATCTTTGAATGATAGGTCTAGAGCATAGGTTAAAGGTCTTTGTATAAATGATAATATTTATAATAATACTCTTACTCAATTGATAAGTATATCTTCTAATAAAGCTATAGAAAAGCATTAAAAGGAAAAAAATAATAGCTAAACTTTCGGTAAAGCATAGGAGACCAATTGGTTATAATAAACTGCTTTTATC